GATCCACTGAAGAGGCCCTTTGGAGAAGACCCTCGAGTAACCTGAGTCACGCAGACAAAGGCAAAGGAGGAAGGCCAGTGCCCATATTCTGGATTCTGATATATGTGGGGAGGGGCCCTCCTGTTCTAGAAAGCGTGCTCAGGTCTCCATCCTAGTCCCGCCGCGATTGCTGCCTCTGCTCTCACTCCTCCCTCCAGCATGTTTCTGCTGCCTCAGTTGCCCATCATGGTGCGGTTTGTACCCAGTGGCCCAAGTCACCAGGCGTGGTAGGCAGAATGCCAATAGCCAGTTCATGACCTTCGGCTCACTTCGCTTTCAATACCCAAGGGAGGGAGGTGGGGGGGTTCTGCCCTCAAGTACCCTACACTGGCTTCTCTGTAGTTATACTAATCACCTGTCACCTCCTTATCGCTCCTCAGGGAGAGGGACTCGCTCATGCCAAACGGGAAGGGGATTCTTTCCACTGCTCACTTGAAAGCGGGCACAGAGCATAGCACGCCCTGAATGCTCTTCCCGGTCTGAGAATTCGGACTGAACCACACCTTGTCGTCTCTGTTCACTCACCAGCGTGTCATGGTGCCTACGTAGGCGACACTCGACAATGACAAGCGAGGTGCTTCGCGCTCAGGAGGGACAAAACCCAACGCACAAACACACAAGGAGGACCACACGTTAGTACTGCACGAACGCAGCTGGAAGCGACAGCAGACCACAACTTGAAGAGGTGCTAACAACGGGATGCAGTTGCTCAAAAGGCGAACACCGGGAGCTGTGATCAGACAAGACACAGGAGGGAACTGCCCCACTCTGCTTATCCCAGGTGTTGATGACCAACTGGAGAGTCCAGAGGAGAGCTCAGTAGCAATACAAAGTTCTGAAAGCCTGACCTAGGAGGCAAGGTTAAAAATCCCGGTACGTGTAAGTCTTGAGTAGAGACAGCCGAGGAGGGTGGGAGCCGAGATGCCTCGAGCTACATTAAGGGCTGTTAGAAAGAAGACAGTGAGCGGTAGCTCTCTGTGTCCACAGAAAGTAGGACAAGGGGTAACAGGCTTACTTTGTAAGGAGAGAGATGTGGAAAGATTTTCCAAATATCCGCTCTAACCATGAAGAGAGTTAGGAGCTAACAGGCGTCCCACAGAGCTATGGACTCATTGGTGGTGTTTAAGATCAAGTCAGACCAGGGGTGGGCAATCATTTTTTGCCGGGGGCCACTTCAGAAATTTCTGAAGTGGTCCCGGGCCACACTGGAAGGGGTGGGGCCTCAAGTAGAAGAGGAGAGGGGGCCAGGATACTTCCCTGCGTCTGGGGGAGAATGAAGTGCCTTTGCCCCCTCCCACAAGGTTCCCCATAGGATCCCATGTCCCTGGCGGTGGGAAGAGACTTCACACGCTCCCCCTTCTGCCCCCAGGCCAATCAGGACTCAGGGGCAGGGGAGCACGTGAAGCCTCCTCCCGTCCCGCCAGGAGCACGTGGCGCTTCTAAGCACTGCAAGCTCCTCACAGGGCAGGGACAGGGGCAGGGCGGAGGAAACTTTGCGCAATTCCCCCCACACTCAGGCCCTAAATTGGCCTGGGTGTGGGGGAGCGGCAGGGCCTCTGCAGGCCAGATCCACCCACTTGGCAGGCTGGATCCGGCCCACGGAGGCCCTTTTGGCCACCCCTGAGTTAGACAGAGCGTGGTCAGGGATGGCTCAGGGTTCCTGACTCAGTGCAGGGATACATTAGACCACCTCTTCAGCCCTACATTTATATGACTAAGCTATTCAGAACAGACAGTGCATGTGCCTGCTGCAGTAAGGCCCTGACCCTGGCTAGACACTGCCGTAATACAAATACACAGAACACAAAAGCTCCTAGTGATGACTAGCACCGAAGTCAAATGACCCAAAAGTCACGTAGCTTTGCAAAGTTAAAGTTCCCAACCAGACCAGAACAGTTCGGATGGGCTGTGCGGTGCAGAACGTGGTCAGGAAGGGAGGATAACCGGTGACTGCACTCTGCTAACTCTGTCCCACCCCAACAGCACACAGCAATGACCCGGGGCTATCTCCGGGTGGAGAAGCAGCTTTACTGTGCTGAGATTGCGTGACCACCCCAGGGACTTATGCACCCTCCTTCCCCACACACAGACCTCACCCATGCTAACGCAGCAGCGTGCTTCTATCAGCCATCGCTGGCGGCGTGGTTTGATGGGCAAACCCCAAACACTCCTACCAGCCAGTGCAATCTCAGGCTTGTGTTGGTTTGTAATTGTTTACCCAGAGACGCTCAGCTGGAGCCTTTTAGCAATTTTACAGCTGGGCTGACTAAGGGGCAAAGGTCAAGTAGGTTGGAGGGTCATACACTGAACAGTGGTCTGTTGCGGTAAAATCCAGCGGCTTCTTGCTCAAGAAACAAGCTCCTTGTGCCAGGTCCTTTCAGGAACAAACATTCATTTTTTGACGGTTCTAAGTTGGGAGAGGGTAGGTCAGTTCACGGCAGAGACCGGAAGTGCAGGTTTAGAAGAGGGGGAAAAACCACGCCAGCTGACCGCTGCTGAAATTCAGGGGGAAACAAGGAAGGTGAAAGGATGCCAACCACACGGTTGTGATTTCACCCAACGTTAGAAGGGCTGACTCGAGCCGCAGCCCAGCTCAGGCAACCACGCCTGCAAGGCGTTGCTCACGGGCGAAGCGAGACAGCTACTCGGCTTTGCACACGCACTCAAAGGGGTTTGGCCCGATTTATTTCAGGGTTCAATAGAACTGCCTGACTGTACCCGGAGGGCGGGGCAGCTCCTCCGCAAGACAACGAAGGCAGCCTCTCGCATGTGACGTGCAGACGCTGAGGCCGACCTCCTGAATGCACAGACAACGTCCAACATTTGTGGGTCTCAGACTAGAACCGCATGCCCCACACAGCTCAACGCCACCTCGTGCAAAGCAGAGTTTGAGGCATCCTCTGCCACAGCAGACAGTGAAGCATTCTGGTCACCGTGTCTCTTCCCCCGTCGATCCTGCCAACCCGAAGACAGGGAGAGCAGGGGGAGGGATTTCAGAAGCTGAGGAGGCTGGATCCTACAGCACAGCCCCAGGAAGCACCCCAGAATGATTAGCCAACAGCAACGCCCACTTCATGGCTTTCTGATTGACCAGGCTGGAGAAAGCTCTGCTGAACTGTGCAAACTTCAAAGGCTGAAGAGAACTTTGAGTGCGGAAGGTGCCTTTGGCTCTTTCTGTGCAGAGACAGGCCTGGCATTCTGGGGAGAGTTTTGATCCCCCCGGACTGGCGCACAGCTACTGCTCCATGAAGTCAAGTGACAAGCACAGGTCAGTGCCTCGTGTTTGGTGTAAGCAAGTGTCCTTGGGCGATTAGTTTAGCACAGGGCCCATTTGCACGGCCTCTAAAGAGGCCAAACTTTACCTTTCACTCAATGCCCTGCTCCAAAGAACCAGCATTGGCACAAGCATTCTTCAGCCAGCTGGAGAGATGGCTCGGTGAGCACCCAAGTGCCAAGATCTCCTTTTGTGCCAACAGGAGTTAAACATACCAATTGTTCTTTGAAGCATGGAGCATAAAGGGAAGGCATGAACCTACTTCCCAACTGAGTAGCAAGTGCGTCACTTCTGGGAAAGGGCAGGTCATCTTTTCTCTAAAGTTAAACTGACCTGGTTACAGATCCATGGCTTATCAATCCTATATACACGGCCTCCCAGCAGGAAGCCGGTTCGCTAGGCATTTACAGAAGGAGGTTCCCGCTGGCTGCATTCCAGACATGTACTCAGCAGCCTTGCCTCACGGAACTGCGTTTCCTGGTTCGTGCTGGTTCGGTCTCTCAGCAATCAGAGCTTATCGGAGAAATGCTGCTCAACTGGACTTGAATCTTTACCCTTGCTGAAAACGACGTGAGTGTTTTATGGACTATAATCCAAAGGGCAAGGAATTACTGATACAGAACCAGACACTTTAGCAAAGACTTTCAGCTTTCCATTCTAATGAGAAGTTTTACAGAGATTTTTGTCTGGAGAGCCAGAGGATAAAGTTGCTGACAGAAAGACATCATAGCAATAATTAATATTAGCTTAACTCCCGCCACAGACAAAAATCTTCTGAATGAAATAGTATTAATTCCTATTAAAAAACATTAACCTGAGTTAAGATTGTAAATACCTGTTATTTATAGGGAAATGTCTCTGGAGAACTTTACTGGAAAGACCAAATTCCTGTTACACCAAGGCAACCCAAACAATCAGAAACCATGGCAACAAAGGTAAGGTGACGCAAAAACCTTAACTCTGCCCCCCAATTGGGCACTGATGTAGGATGCCTCACAGCTCAGCTTCAAATGCTACAGATGCTGCTGCAGTTTTCGGGATCTACGCACTTGATGATACAGGCCCCCATTCCCTGCAATCATTTACACACATGCTTAATTTTACTACAGGGAACAGTTCTAGTGAAATCAATGGAACATCTCACAGAAGCAAAGTTAAGCATTTGCATATTTACAGGACTGAGGACATGCTGACCACACACTGCTACAGCATTTTAACTGAGTTACAAATGCCTTCACATCACTACAACAAAACCCTCACTCTTTATTGAAGGCCACCTCAGTCACCAGACAGGTTTTAACAGCTCTGCACATTTGCCACAGAAATCTATTCTCATCCCTTAACATGATAGTTATGTATTTCTTCACCAAAACCAATCATACTGGGACCATCAGGTAGGACAATTCTTTAAAAATGCATGATGGACTCAGCACAGTCCATGTAATAGGTGTTGTCAGGTTAAGGGCAGTATTTCAAGTCCTTCATTAACAGATCTATTATACTTACACCACGTGCAAGTCTGCCCTGGAAGGGGGCAACGTTAACGTTGTGTGGGATGACCTCTCAGGTGTGTGACTTACCTTCTCCTAGATTCCTTCCCCACCACGTTACCCTTAGTACGGGATTACCAGCAACAAGTCCCAACATTTGTATTTTTAAAGAAACTAAAAGCATTTTCTCACCGTGTTTCGCCACAGCAATCGGCAGGGTTAAGATCATAAATACCTTAAACATTTTGCCTGTGAATTTCCTCAGATTAGCAGTGTCTAAAAGGGTGCGTATGTTGACCTGGACATCTGGGCAGCACTGGCTGAGAGGTGAGATTGTCAGGTCCAGCACCAGAGTGTACTGGGTGAACAAACAGAAACGGAACCTCTGCATACGGCTGTGGTGATTCTAAGACTCCCATGGGAAGGCAGGGGTACTAAGGCACATGAGCCTTAGGCCAGAGCTGGGAGATAAGCAGGCCAGATGCGGCTCGCTACAGTTAGCCCCTGGTGGGCCACCATGTGCTTTATTTACCTGTGCACCCATATGAGTGCTGGCAGCTCCCACTGCCATTCCCAGCCAATAGGAACTATGGGAAGTACTGTGTCATTTCCCACCCCCCCACACTGGCCAGGAACCAATGGAAGCTGCGAGCAGGCGTACCTGCAGACATGGAGGTAAATAAAATATCAGGTGGCCTGCCAGCGACTAACCCTAGCAAACTGCATGCTTAGTGCTCACCCCTGCTCTAGGCTGATACAGATGTTACAGATGCCAGCCCCTAGAATTCTTGTTTATTCCTTACAGACTTTGATAGGCAGGGTTCTGGGCAAAGGCAACTGACAAATGAGCAATCCATGAGCGAAAACATTCGATTTCCTAGTTACTCAGTTTGTTGATCCCACTGTTTCATGGCTGGATCTCTTCTTATTCTACTTACCAGCCCTGCAGTTCAGCAAAGGCCTGCTTCATTTTCTTAATGGAGGCATCCATCTCCTCTTTAACCACAACTCGATACCGTGCCAGTGAGACGGTGCAACGTTGGAGGTCCTTCACTGATTTCTCAATATTGGAACCTATGGACATAAAATAAAGTAAAATAAAAAACTCCAACCCGGCCAAGTATGTTGGCTTATAAAATCTTCCAGATTGCGATAAATCATAAAGGAGTCTCAGTTCCTTTCAAAACCACAGACTGCTTGGCTTTAAACTCCCCCTCTGCCTTTTCCTGTTGCAAAACCATCGGATTCTGTCTGGATAGCCGTGGAAGTTTTTTTGGGCTTAGAAAATCTCCTCCTTACAGCAAAGGACACAGACATGTCCCTGGATTTTCATATGCAGGAGAAAGCTAATGCATCTCCTGTATGTTGCTCCTATGCGACAGATTGGGAACTGCTGAAGGGAAGCCCACCTCAAAGAACCAACAACAAGCAGAAGCACTGGAAAAATTGCCCAGTTATACTGAGGAGAGAAATCATTCAGATGCTAAATCAAAGCCATGCAGAGCACTTCTTCCTCTGAAAGCAGAGAGAGACGAAAGCCTCGGCTATTTGTTACAAAGGTTAGTCTTCACACTTCAGATCTCCAGCGGAGCAGATCACCATGCCTCTGCAGCTCCCTGACTGCCATCCTGCCCGACAAGCTAAATTAGCAACAGCTCATTATGGGGCTCGTTACAGCAAAAAGGAGAACTACCAGCACTAGGGGCCGAGTGTTCACATTTCACTAAAGCAGAGGATAACGTGAGGGGATGAGAGAACAGAGGTAGAGAAAGCAGAAAGAAATAAAAGAAGAGGCTGTCATGTCTTGTAACCGGGTCTCCTAAAATCTTTGGCTCCTAAACCAACTCACTGAGGAGGGGAAGAGCATGCAGGCTCCATGACGGAGCACACAGAGAGTCAGGATAAGCACATGAAGCCTGACTTTCTGCTCAGCTACTACCCCCATGGTACAGATGGGCTTGGTGCTTCCAGCATGACAGCTGAACTGCTGCCAAGAGGAGGACAGAGCACTACAAGTCATGGGCTGGAGCATACAAAGGCTGCTAGTTTGCATCACAAAGGCTAGTGTGCCTTCCCAGCCACCAGTAATCCACTAAATCTGAGCTGTCCACCCAGAGCAGAGGCCAGAGAGCCCTGCAAGGTAACCCACTCTGGAACTCAAGCACATGAGGCTCCTTGAGGCCTTACCTAACTTCTTGCTGGAAGAAGAAACCGGAACATCTTCCAGCATGGCTGAAGAGAAGGAAGCCGACATCTGGTTGCTTGCTGTGGACCTAGACTTGCTGGCATTCCTCTGCCCTGGCTGCGGCCTGACAGATGGAGGATTATGGGAAGAGTGCATTACGGGTGACTTTGGCTCAAAGTCCACTATTCCATTGTCTAGCTCAGACACTGCTGTAGAAAAGCAAGTGAGTTCAGGGAAACAAACAAATAAACAAACAAAGCTGAAACAGGGAGCACAGAAAGTATTCCAGGCTCAACAGCCCCCGTCCCACCCAAACTTAAACCAAGAGGGCGAGCCCTGCTTTCTGTGACAACCGCCACAGAGTAGAAAGCAAACAGAGCAGCTGCACCACCAAAGAGTTTGTGCTACTTACAAACACCCCCAAAACCCTCCGTATTCAGAACTGGCACAAAGAAAGGCAGCAGTAAGAGAAGGGAGAAAGCAGCTCTTTGAAAGCTTACAGAGCTATTCAAGGTCTGCAGTACTTCAGAAGGACTAACCTGTTCCATCAGGCATGTCAGGTGTGGCCGAGTCACAATCCTCTAACTCTCTGGCATCTATTGAAAGCGTATCCAAGCCTTCACTGAGCGAGTCCACAGACTCTGTGTCGTTGGCTGAGCCGTTGACGTGGTAACCATTAATCCCGCCCTTCTCCGAGGACGCTGCAGACTGTTCCCCTTCGGTGGATGCCAGTTTCCCAGGATCTGGGAGGCCAGTGCCTGCTTCAGCTGGAGGTTTGGGTTTGGTTTTCTTCTTTTTGTTCTAAGGATTAAATACACATCCCACAAAAACCAGGCTAAGCTTAATTGCTGAAGGGACAATTCATCTTGTGCTTGCTGCCCAGGAGTCGCTGAATAAAATGCTTTTTCAGCCAGACCCGACTGTTGGTCCTATCACTGCAGGGTGGATTGATTCAACAATAAAGAGACCCTGGTATTAATGAGGTGTGCGCACTATTCTCTCTAGTGGTGTGTGGGTGAAGCCAGGAACCAGTTACTAGATGAATGCTGCCTTTCACGTCAGTTACACAGAAGCAACATTTCAGACTACCTCCTCAAGGTTAGTCCTGCTGGGGACAGTGATCCACGAGGTAATACCAGATCCCCTGCCTCAGCCCATGCCCAACCCCCGCTAAAATGTGACTGAACTCAGTGCTAGAGGCTGCTCTACCCAAATCTCCCCTGCCACTCTCCCCCCATGCCTTTTACACTTTCTGCCTGCCAGAGCTTTAGTCTTTGCTGCTTAGTGTCTGCTAGCTATTTATAAATTGCAGTTTGGTAGGATCATCGCTTCACTTCATATAACTGCAGTGTACTTCGATACAATGGCCTTGATCGCTAAACAAGAAGTGAAAACACCCTACGTTAACTGCTTGGGTAGGGCTCTGAACAGACGAGCAGGCAAAACCGCCAAGGAGCAAAATGTGCGTTGCAACAAAAAGAGGCATCAAGGCAGAGGCCTCGAGAAATAAAGGCTGCTCCGCTCCAAGAGGTTGTGACGGGACACGCAAAATGGGCTGAACTCATACAGAGTCACAGAAGAGAGCCTTGCCACATGGCGGCGGAAGCCCAGCATGTCTCTGTGGTTTCACCACACCATAGAACAGGGAGGAGAATTTGCGGCCAAGGTTGTACGTTTTCATGGTGATTCTGCAAGGCAACGTCATCCATACAACACCATATAACTGACCCAATTGCATTGTGGTGTTTTGGGAGGGGGAGTTTCAAACCACCTTTTGAAGTCATCAGATAGAGCATCCCACCTCAACTGTGACTTTAGACTAGGGATGTAAAACCCTGTTTCATCAGTTAACCAGCTAAACGTTATGTTCAACTATTTTAAACAAGGTGGGTGAGGGGCTGTTCCAGACTGGCTGGGCTGCTGGTTAACCATAACCGGTAAGCAACACCCAGAAAAGGCAATGCTTACCAGTTAACCATTCACATCCCTAACAGGCTAGATGGAGCAGTGACTACCTAATTCTGTGCACAGCAATATATATTTGCCCCCTGGTTTCTTTCCTTCTTCCTCACGATTTAGCATGGAATTATAGAAAGTGCTGGGTCTCTAACGTGCTCTGGAACCTTTAAAGAAGCAAATGCCAGGGTAATACGGACCACAGCAAAGTAAGTGAAAACACATTTTTAAGGTTACCTTTTTCTTGCCAGTTATTGTCCATTCTTTCAATACTTCGCTGGCATTGCCTGAAATGAAACTTAAGATAAGCACAGGAAAACGCTTCCCACTCACCTACCCTCGCCCCACACAAGAACCAAGGCATGTTCATAACTAGAGCCAGCTGGACTATTTCCTCCAGCTAATGACGTAAAGAAGTTGAGTTTCAATTCTCGCAGGTGCTGATGTAAAAGGATCGGTTTCAGTTTTGCTTTGGGAACATCCCACTCATCAGAATAACTCCTTCATACAATGCAGCTTCCAGGTAACAACCCTCTATTGACACTGTGATGCTAAAGACTCTGGCCATTTTGGAACTTTATACCCCCTACTTCAAGGCATTAGGAATAGCTGCACAACCCATCTGTTCTCTTAGGCATGTTGAGAGCGAGAGGGTGAGTACAGGAAACAGGCAAGAGGTGCACAAAGACAGTTTCGCTGGTGAACACCTCCTGTCCTACCAGGCAGGAATTCTATCAGCTACAATGTGCCACCTGATCCAGGGGCTGCGATTCATGTTTCAAAAGGGAGGCGAGAACTACCCCAAGGTTGCTGCAGACAGTTCTTTTCTTGTGCACAGGAGCAAGAAACACAAGAGTTAAATATTGAACGCAGGAGAGACCAAGTATCTTTTGATACAAAGTCATGGTCTTTTCTTCTTAAAGCCTAATGGGGCAGATGCTGAATTAAATGATGGGAAGGCTGAGAGGACTGTCCTTGGATTGGCTTTCAGGAAAGCCAACGTGGGAAGAGTCTGCACTTGGATAGTTTACAGAGATCTGACAGTGTCTCCCATCACAAAGGCTACAGACTATAAAAAAGCCTATGGTCATTTCCCAAAAGCTATGCAGTGAAGAGACACACTATTTCTAAACAAACCCCACGAAGAAAATGTCAGCTAAAGCCCAGTTTCCAAGATCATGGAACTAAAGATTGCTACCTTCCATAAAGGCCTGCACTGTTCTGTCCACACAGTTATCAAAGTGCTGTAGCACCAGAATGATTTCATTGTTGCTCTTGTTGGGGACCACCGCACGTACTGCGCTGATCTGGAAGAGAAGAACAAGGAGTCAGATGTTGGTACTTGCTTACCTTCTGCATGCCAACACTAAGCTTGCATCAAAGGGTACTGTACTGTACAGAACATGCAATTGCTTGGCTCTGGTATCACAAGGCCAGGACAATGCATCTTGGAGAAAAACAAAACTTTAGTAAGCTCATGTGTTCCCTGTGTCCTCTCACCAGCAGTTCCACTGCCAAAGAAAAGCCACAGAACACTTACCTTCTCCTTCATGTTTTCAAAGGTTCCTCCTTGGGCCATCACAGTGTTGGACTGCACATCAAAAATAAACCCTGATGGATCTGTAAAGACAGTGCAAGGTTGTGAGACAGAGCAACCTAAAGCAACCAGTTAGCTCAGAGGTTTGCCTTGCAGAGGCAAGAGGCAGTTTTCTGAAACTTCCAGTGACGGTGCAGCAGCAAACAAAGAACAGCAGGCACTACTAAAGAGAGGGATAGATAAATGAGACAGACACTATCATAAGACCACCATAGAAATCCATGGTACACCCACACCTGGAATGTTGCATCCACTTCTGAACGCCCCCTCTGAGAAGGGATCTAGTGGAGCTGGAAAGGGTTCAGAGGAGGGCAACAGAGATGATCAAGGTTACAGAATGGCCTCTGTATGAGAAGAGACTAAAGATCAAGGCTGGTAAGGGAAGAAGAGAGAACTAAGGTGGGAGACCACGGAGAGCTGCAGAATCAGGAATGGCATGGAACACGTGAACAGGGAAGGGTTATTTATTCGGCTTTGGTGAGGCCACATCTGGAGTACTGTGTCCAGTTCTGGGCCCCCCACTACAAAAAGGATGCGGACGCATTGGAGAGGGTCCAGCGGAGGGCAACCAAAATGATTAGGGGTCTGGAGCATATGACCTACGAGGAGAGGCTGAGGGACTTGGGTCTGTTTAGTCTGCAGAAGCGAAGAGTGAGGGGGGACTTGATAGCAGCCTTCAACTTCCTGAAGGGAGGTTCCAAAGAGGATGGAGAGAGGCTGTTCTCAGTAGTGACAGATGGCAGAACAAGGAGCAATGGTCTCAAGTTGTGGTGGGAGAGGTCCAAATTGGATATTAGGAAAAACTATTTTACTAGGAGGGTAGTGAAGCATTGGAATGGGTTACCTAGGGAAGTAGTGGAGTCTCCATCCCTAGAGGTGTTTAAGTCTCGGCTTGACAAAGCCCTGGCCGGGTTGATTTAGATGGGATTGGTCCTGCCTAGAGCGGAGGGCTGGACTTGACGACCTTCTGGGGTCTCTTCCAGTTCTGATTCTATGATAAGGGGATGGTTGGATGAAATAACATGATCTTGGTAACTAATTGACCATTCATTTCCAGTTGGAAATAGGTCAATGGAGGGATGATAGGAGTTGCTATAGGGAACTTTCTGGGTGTCTGGCTGGTGAGTCTTGCCCACATGCTCAGGGTTTAGCTGATCGCCATATTTGGGGTCAGGAAGGAATTTTCCTCCAGGGCAGATTGGCAGAGGCCCTGGAGGTTTTTCGCCTTCCTCTGTAGCATTGGGCACAGATCACAGCTGAAGGACTCTCTGCATGTTGGGGCCTTCAAAGTATTGGAAGGCTTCAATATCTGAGACATAGGTGAGAGGATTATTCTAAGAGGGGTGGGCGAGATTCTGTGGCCTGCACGGTGCAGGGGGTCAGACTAGATGATCATAATGGTCCCTTCTGACCTTAAAGTCTATGAGTCTATGAGTTATTTATCCCTTTCCACAACATAAAAACCAGGGCTCACCCATTGAAATTAACAGACTGCAGGTTTCATGCAAATTTTTTCTTCATACATTGCATAATTAAACCAGTGAAACATGGCACCAGGGAATGTTGTTAAGGTTAAAAAATAGAACAATTCCAAAGAAAAATGGGTAAGTTCACAGAGGACAAGTCCATCAATGGCTATTAGCCAAGGTGACCAAGGATGCAACCTTATGCTCAAGGCATACAGAGGCCTGGAAGGGGAAGAGATGTGGGATCACCCCAACTGCCCTGTTCTGTATACTCTGCTAAAGCTCTGGCACCGGTCACCATCAGAGACAAGATACTGGGCTAGGTGGACCATTAGACTGGCCCAGAATGGACTGGCCCAGTATGATCGCTCTTACTGCATTACCTGCAAAAATATAATATTAATTGGCTAATTCTAACCATGCAATCAATGGAGGCAGCAGCACAGATTCACATACGTTATAGCCTCATCTAAGACCATGAGGCAACAGCAGATCAATCTAGCACACTTGACCCTACACCAAAGTAAAGATGTTAAAATGCTGTTAATTGACTAGTCGACTAGCCAATGGAATTTCCATTGAGTAGTCGATAGGCACGTCCACATTCCTCCTTTGAAATATACAAGAGCCCCAGCAGGAACTCCACGTACAGCCTGGGCCAGCGAGAAATCCTGCTGATTCCTGGCTGCACATGGCATGCCTGCTTTGAAATGCACAAGTGTTCCAAGTGGGGGCTCTTGTGCATTTCAAAGCCAGGGAGCCGAGGTTCAGCGGGGGACTCCCCAGCTGACCCCAGGCTCCACTGCCCCTTTGAAATGTGCAGAGGCGGCATTTTAAAGGGACAGCCGCCTCACAGCTGATCAGTTGTGAGATGGCTGCCCCTTTGAATCGCTGCCTCTGTACATTTCAAAGGGGCAGTGGAGCCTGGGGGCAGCTGGGGAGTCCCCAGCTGCCCCCTGGCTCCACGGCTGCCCATTTGAAATGCTAAGGCAGCGTTTTAAAGGGGCAGCTGCCACACAGCTGATCCGCGGGATCAGCTGTGCAGTGGCTCTCCCTTTGAAACACTGCTGTGGCGTTTCAAAGTGGGAGCCATGGAGCTGCCACTTTGAAGTACCCCTCCCCTCCCTTTGCTGCCTCTATCTCATGGAGGCTCCAAGGGGAGGAGGTATCGACTAGTCAAAAGACTATCCGATAAGCATTTGCTTATCGGATATTCGACTAGTTTTTAACATCCCTACACCAAAGTCAATACAACAAATGTAAGGGCCTCCAAAGGACCCTGTCTGGAATTAAAAGCCATGGTCGGGTCAACCAAAGTGAGAAGGTAAGTGAGAAGATAGACTTGGCTGATTAAAGGTGTCCTCAACAAATCCTCACATGCCAATATCAATCTCACGTCAGCATGTGAACAGGAGGCAGTGCTGAAGGGACCACCATCCTGCCGCCAATAAGAACAGCTCTAACATCTGGGACACTCAGCTAAATTCTGAACTGCCCGTGGACTGGCTATTGCGAACAGTACATTTTCTTCATGAAAGACGACATGCTTGCAACATTAGAGAAGTCGACACCTGCTTGTCTTTGGTAACGTTTTCATAAAAATAATTTTGCTAAATAAACCCTTTGCAGTGTCCAACACGCCACGTCTAAGGTTGCTCCCTGCCTTGAGCCAGGGTGCAAAAAAAAAAAAAAAAAAAAATTTTTTTTTTTAAAGTTTCACTTCACTGAAAAAATGAAAATGATTCAACATGTTAAAAAAAAAAGCAAACTATTTCAGACAGCTACATCTTTAATTACATACACAGTGAATTACAGTTTGTATTACAGCCTTTAACAAGTCATTAAATTTCTGATTCGTTCCTCAGCTCCGGGCCAACAGAAATAAAGAAAAGAGCACTGCCAATCACACAGCAAGCCAGCAACATTCACCACCACCAGAGCAGGTCTGACACAAACTAAAAACAACAAGCAGCCCTGTGGCACTTTAGGCTACATCTACACTGCAGCGCTATTTCGGGATACCGGAGTATCCCAAAATAACTATCCCACATCTTCACAGCAAGCCCATTATTTTGAAATGTAACAGGCTCACTATTCCGATATCCCTATAAACCTCATTCCACGAGGAGTAAAGGACATTTCAGAATAGCGGGTTGTTTTGAAATAGCTTATTTCGTACTTTATTTCGAAATAAGATCGAAATAAGAGATGTAATTTACGTAGCTCAAATTGTGTCTCTTCTTTCGAGCTACAGTGTGTAGTAGCCTTAGAGACTAACAAATGGATTAGATCATGAGCTTTCTTGGGTAAAACCCACTTCATCAGATGAGCTGGAGTGGAAATTGCAGAATCCAAGGTATAAGAGCAAAAGAAGTTACCTGTCAATTATAGGACCAGAATTAATGAAGCTAATTAAGTCAGACTGGATGTGTGTCATTCATAGCATGGGATTTGGAAATGCAAATATCAAAGGCTGGGAAGTTGCCTTGTAGTGCGCTAACCAGTTTAACTTTATTCAAGCTTAATTGGATAGTATTGAACTTGTGAATGAACTCCAGTTCAAATGTCTCCCTCTGAGACCTTTATATCATTTTATAAGGTGATAAAGTTATTTCGCATAGGCCTGCCCATTGTTTTTCAAGTTACAGACTGACACGGCTCTCCCTCTGACACAATATAATTAAGTTAATCCAAGCAGCTCAATGCATCTTTTGTATTTCTGTGCCTATTTTAGGAGAGCATGCTTTTATTGGCCTCAAAGAAGGAACTGCCAGCAACCGCACTCCCATAGCCTTTGTTCTGTATTTAGCAATTTCACCTACCTGGGAAGACAAACTGCAGAAGCTTTGATAAACAGGTCTGAAGAGCATCCAGTCACTTCTGCTTAGTGCTACTGTATCATCCAATTAAACACTTATTTTCTGCCTCCCATCGATCAAATATCCTGGACACATTTCCACTTCTCCACCCTGTGCTGCAAACAAGCTCCCCATCAGGATCCGTACGTCCTCTATCCGGGCTCCAATACTTTAAAGTGCAGACCTAAAAACAAGTCTGCAGCTGTTGACTCCAGCCTGACAAAGATGGCTACAAAGGATCTGATTTTATTGCAGACAAGCCATTAAAGCATGGTCTGATCTCCACTAGGTTTAGGTCCCATTAGCCAGTAAGGGTCACGCCAATCTACAGAAGGGTTCCATTTACCAAGACACAGCCTTATCAATGTCTGGCATGTGAGCCCCTGGGTGGGGGGCGGAATGGTCTAAATAGCAAGACTTCTGGGGACAGGTAGTTTTGTCAATTTGTTCCACTTTCATGTGGCATATTTCTTGTATGTATTTTAGTGCACGTAGCATCAGTGCGCATAAAAACAGCTGCTGGGGGTGACATTCACTGTGCTCTCTCACTTTATTTCAGCTCAAGCGTCAGCTGCATTGGGCTCTGGAGTCTCCGTGAAGTGGTCTAAATAGCAAGACTTCTGGGGACAGGTAGTTTTGTCAATTTGTTCCACTTTCATGTGGCATATTTCTTGTATGTATTTTAGTGCACGTAGCATC